CTGGGAAAGGAGAACGAGCGCCGCGCCTCATCCTGAAGAAATTGAAGGAGCATGAGCGACGACTGGCTAAGGAGACCTGGGGCATATTTTGGTGGTTGCCTTGGCATCGTACGGATACTGGCCGCCCACGCTCCTCGACAACCCTTCAAAGCCGGAATCGCGATCAGGATCATGACCCCGAGAAGCTCCATCCTCGAACTGCAGCCCTTGAGAAGCAGCACCGGCGCCGCGGTAGTAGCGTGCGCCGGCGCAGCTCGACCAGCTCTTCTCGCAGCCCTCTGCCGGCCGATGGCGAGGATGCGCCCGTCAGTCGCAAAGCCAGCACGGCCTCTAATGCTTCGGACAAGAAGAGACGGAACAAGCTTTCGACGAGCTCCAAGCCCAAGCGACCCAACGTGGAATCGAGGTCGGTGACACCGGACATCCCATCACCCCTGGCACGGGAGAGCAGCGTTGCTAGCGACGTGACATCATCGGATGTGGGAGGAGAGCGGATGCTGCGAAGCTCGTCGTCCAAGTCCAGCGTGGGCACGGGCCGGGATTCCAAATTGAGCGAAGCGTGACGAATGACAATTGACGAGTCTCCAAGAGACGATTTTATGAAGCTTATTCCCTCCGTGCGTGTCGAAAGTCTTCCCAACTTTGATGAACCCGAATCGAAAAGCGCTTCTGCCAGTTGGGCCTGGGAGACATCAAGCTGATGGCGTTACTGCCACGTTTTCTCCACTTGTCGCCGTGCTAGTCAGGTACCGTGGCGCTGCGTCACGAATCTCGGTATCGGATCATACTCTTGGGGTTTCCGGTAACCCCCAAGACACTCGGCAGCAGGCGCCGAGCCCGACACACCGGGTCTCACGGCCTGGCAACTCTCGAGCTCTCATCTTGCGCTACTCGTGACGCGTCACCATCATCCCATTCAACCCATTTGAGGCGAGCCTTCTCATACTGCAGTGTTGCCAGAAACGTGGCTCGCTGCCAAGCCAGTGACGTCCTTCCAGATTCGATCCCCGTTACTACTAGTTCCCATTCAGTCCACAATCGGAACCCCGGCCTGCAGCCCAGCCAGGTAGTTGTTCAATCGATGTATGGGAACCCTGCTTTGACATCATTGGGGTCTGTAGTCATTGCGCGTCTTCCCCCGCCTCACGCTTCTAGCCTCATGCCGCCGGGGAAAAGATGATCTGCGAAGAAAGCCGGGCGCAGTTTGCCAAGATGGCGATGCTTGCTGTTCCTCATATACCACGCCCTTGCCCTTACCATTCCCATTCCCAATGACTGTGCTGTAATAACCAGGAAATTGCCCCCATTTGTATGCCCGACTCTTCGTGGCGCAGACGTACAAACGCCCTTGTTTCCTCGATTGGAGCAACAATAGCAAGCAGAACTTTGGGATAGCATGCCGGCGGCCGTTTCACAGGAAGCGGGCATCAGTGATGAGCTGGTGAAGCACTGCATGGCGCCTGACAGTGTCACGACGCTGCTGGCCGAGGACCCGTCGCTGACGCCAGGTGTTGCATGGAAAAGGCTATATGGGGCAAAGGCAAAGCGGCGTGAGCAGAAGGAAAATGAGGTTAGCGGACCGTTGCCGGCGGTGGATGAGTTGACTGGCCTGGAGCGCATCGCGCCGTGTGGAAAATGGGGAGGTGCAAAGCCGAGCGAGCTGTTCCTGAGGGTAAGGTCACCCCGCTGTCCTCCGAATTGTGTAGATGAGATTGCACTTCTGACCGAATGCATTAGATGTATGGTGCAGCCCTTGAATCGATTGATGGCGATCTGAGCAGGCTGTCGTCAGCCCTTCGCTCATGGAGCTGCGGCACGGTGCCCCTGACATCATCTCGACGTA